GCTTTTGTATAGTTCGGCTTTGTTTTTAGTAAATTGGGCTCCCATACTGATGTTAAGTTTTGATGTGAGAAATTTGGGATAGGTATGGGGGATATTAGGAACAGAAATGACTTCACAGCTGCTCACCTCTCTTCTAGATGCAGGTCTTTGGATCTGTCGACTGTCTGGTCTGAATCCCCACTTCAGCTGTGTTTGTGTTGGTACTGCCATGTGGATGGTCCGGAGCTGGGGCAAACAATGACAGAAAAAGAGAGGAAAAAGAGAACGAGGGGGCCTGATCTACTCCCTTTTATATTTAACCCAGTGCACATCTCTAAATTAGATTTTTTGGACTGTTTTGTTCATGCATGCAAAGCCAGCCCTTCTCTGGGAAATGAGCTGTGGCGGGGGGGAGACCGAGCACGAGTCTCAAGATGTGGAGGGAAGTTAGCTCAGAACAGCATTGCCCCACCTCCACAGGACCCTCTCCTCCCACCATACCTTTCCTGTACCAGTACTCAGAATGTTTGAGACAAATGCTTAGGTTTGGTTCTCTACAGTGACAACTTCACCTGTCTAAGAATGATTAATGTACACTAGTACACTTGTTACAGCCATCAAAATCTTCAGACAAGACAGTCTGTTAAATTCATGGTGTTCATTGTTCAGATTTTTACGTTGAGCATCCATGTTTGTCTTTGGCTTCTTTGTAGTTAACCCCTTTTTGTATCTCCAGTAGGGATGCCCAATGAGTATTAATAAGTTGTTAAAAAGGATTCTGCCACTGGACGCCTTCTCTTAATTTTGTATACAGCCTTAAAATCAAAACAAAAAGTTCTAGCCTAAGATGAGTAGCTAAAAGATGTTCTGCTATCACTAATTTTAATCTTATATTTAGCTACCAAAAACTGTGAGCTTTTGCCAAAGAAAATGGCTAGTATAGCTAATTGGCTTGAGATCTAAAATTATAACAATAATTGTTGTGTACTTCTCATGATTAGTTTAATTACCCCCATTTCCTCTGAAAACCTCAATATTAATTCCCATTGACTGTAATGTTAAAATTACTGGCAGGGGCAGAGATGTTCAAATGCTGGCTCATGCTGCAAAGTGAAATCATTGATAACTTCACCAGATGGTTCTGTGCTTTAAAGAAATCCGATGTTAACCTGTCGTTACTCCCTCTTTTCTTTTTCTTTTTTTTTTTAAAGGGAAATTATAAAAAAATCAAGAATAAGAACACAAAGTACTTCTTTTGATACAAGTGAGGAAAGTGTTAAAAATATGTTTTCAAATACTTAGCAGGTCTTTTTGGGGTGGCAGAATTGGGCACGATTAAGGGAAAATAATTGCAGTCCAAATAATTTCATTTTAACTTGCTACTCCATTACATTCCTCATATCCCATCATAGACATTTGTTTCTCATCCTGACCTCAGCACTGACCAGAGTGGCAGAAAGAATCTTGCAGGTTCAGCAGGGCTGCTATTGCTGAATATCCTGCTGTCTCCCAGAGGGAGAGGTGTTCATTTGAGATTTTAGAGAACAAGAGCCTTTTCATAACCTCAATTACCACAAGGTCAATCTGCAACTGAGCGTTCAAGTGGTACTTAGATTGCCTGGTAAGCAGCTGTGGCCCAAGAGCTGTGCTGAAACCAAGTTAAACTGTCATCAATGTCTATCTGTTAATAACAGGAGCGAAAGAGAATCTTTCTGATAATTGGCTTTTTGAGGAACCAGAGAAGGGATTTGATTCTCAAACAAATAAAGCCTTGTCAAGATTAAACATTCATTTGTAATTCTTAAAAAATGTCTGTTTCCCTCCACCATTCAGTCATATAAACATATGTACGCACATGTGTATTTGTATGTATATGTGTACATACGCATATCTACATGCACCATATACAAACCATTTTTCTCTATGTAACAACTTCTATACATTACGAAATTTCAAAACTATTATGCATGCATTCTGCTAGCCATGAATTTTATTGCATTTTTTGTGATAAATATATTTATGCTCTGACATGAGATTCATGCATAAGAATTGAAAATTACTGGGAAGGTGATGGCAATCTGTCAATTGATTGAGAATCCTTCAATCCCCTCAACTTCCATTCTTTCAGTAAGGTCTCACTATAGGTCAAAATACTGTAGGAAAAATAGAATTACAGTATGATGAATAAAGCAATTCAACTAGATTAGAAACCAATGTTGAGCATGGCAATGCCTAAATTGGAATGTTCTAAATCAAAACCCCCAAATGAAACCAAATGGTCTAACTTAATGCCTATTACATACCATGGTAAGGCACTAAATGTGTTGTAGTCACTGCAATTTGAATGCTTGTGATGTATTAGAAGCATACACATTTTAAGCAGTATGTCAGCTCTCTTTGATCCTCCTTCAGAACTCTAAGCCCTTGCTGACAGTTACTTAAGGCTGACAACTTTCTGGGAAAAAAAACCCACCCACTATTGCACACAAAAGATTGTATATTATTATTATTAAATTTTACTTTTTTTACCAGTACCTCTTCCAAAAACCTAGCTAGAAGATATATTGATGAAGCCTTTGCTTTTGCCAAGGAATGAACAATAAAAAAGGTAGGCTATGAATCCACTCCATATACCTCATTTGACCATAGCTTTTACTGAAACTCAACTGAGGCTCATCTCACCTAACTTTAACCATCCACAGAGTAGAAATCTGCACCTGAGACAGTTGTCTAGAGTTCTTTTGCAGTTAGTGGAGAAAAATGGGCACTACTACAAGGTGATTCATCTCATCCTAAAGTTGGCATCCAAACCAGGGCAGACTAATCACATTCCAGAAGTTAGGTGAGATGAATCCCAGCTACGCTGACTTGAACAGTAGTTTTGCTACATAGTGTGACTCAGAGCTCACATAGTCATGAGCTCAAGTGAGAGGTGGGCCTAGCTCGTGTCTGCAAAAGATAGAATGTGAATTTTATACTGTGGAAGATGAAACAACTGTGATTTTAGCTTCCGGCAATCAAATAAATACCATATACTAACACATAAACCAGCGATGTTCCAGAAAACAGTAAAAGATTTAGTGAAACTAATACAGAGGTAAAGCACTAACAACTGCAGCTATCATCTCCATATTACCTTCAGATTTTCCTAGCTACCTTCTGGTTTTATGTCTGTAAGAGCTTCCTTCATTCAAGAAACTCGGTGACTAGTTCCTACCTGCACAGGCAGCAGACCCAGCTTTCTTCCAAAGCCCAGTATGGCCTGGAATTCATACTGACAAGTTTTGCCATCTCATAAAGTGTTTAAACAGCAATCTTTTTAGACCATGGTGAGTGCAGCAAACATTTCCTCCTGTACTGACAAATGTATCAGTACATATTTTTCTACTAATTTCCATACTTCAGCTGGAAGTAAAAGTTTTCTTCACATTCTCTGTTCCTTCAGGTAGCCCCTGTACCGGTTTTCTGATCAGCCAATTGTATAATTTTTTAATCCACAGTATAGGAAGAATGGAAGTCATTCTACCTTCAAACTTACCAAGCATTTGGTTTGATAAAGCAGTTCTATAGGAGATTTCCAACAGTTTCAAGACAGCAGTTAATCCTGATCATCCATTTCTGAATTAAATAGACATATAAAACATAAGCACAATTTATCTTTTCACAGAAAAGAGCTTTTTTTTTTTTTTTTCTGAAACAATGGATGCAATTCTTGCTTGGAGGAATGGATCCTGAGTTGTTCTCCTCAGATAAACTGAGGTAAACATCAGATGAAATTCCGATATACAAGAGAAATCAGTTTCAGAGAGAAGCATTTACATCAGCACTGCTAAATTCATCTGTTTGAGACAGTGATCCATGGCAAATTATTTAGATTGGTTTGCATCTACTGTACCAGTTCCCTGTAAGAAGCATCATCTATGCCCATACAATGTAGTGCTTGGATTTGCCTCTTCTCTGGTTTATATGTGTGCCATTCAAATAAGTTTATAATCATAACTGGGTTTTTTGTGTTAATTGTTTCAGTTCAAATTGTCTTTTATATTTTGAAACCTGTACTGCAGCTAACCAGAATGATATTAGTACACCATAAAACACTGCTTATATATTGCATATACTGAAGTATGTCAGTAAACAATCTCAGGATTAAATAGGAAGTCAAACCTTTTGGGATAGAGCTTGAAATTATCTGAGATAGCACAGAACTGGATATGATCTAAAAAAGCACATATGGAATAAAATATGGAGACACAACCTCTGTGGGATGCTTTGTGCCCATAATCTTCAGATCCTCAATGAATCTTATTTATTTACTTGTTTTATACTTTCAATCTTATTTTCACAGTTTAAGACATCAGCAAAACCAAAACTTCTTGAGACTGTTATTGGTCAATTTATGCATTTCAGTCATTTCTCATTGGAGCAGATACATTTTTCCAGTTTATTATTTTTACCGTTTTAAAATTTTGGGGTTTTTTTCTTGGACAGGAATGTTGAAAAAGAAAGATTCCCTTTGATTATTTTTCTTGAGAACTACTTTAAAATAGCTTTGAATTGAAATTAGAACAGTAGAATTTCAGGAACAATTTTGCTCAGGTTTTCAGTTTCATTCAAAGCTTTACTAAAAATGAATGAAGAGAGGATATTTGGCTAACAAATATTGTGCCAGAAGGCAAATTACACAGAAGATTATTATTACACCAGCACCTTGACTTTAAATTTGATAAAATGCTTAGCACAGCCCATCTCTGTGCTGAGTATACTAAAAACAAGTGCAATCCCTGGGCAGTGCAGAAAATACTGCAGGACAACTGATACTCTTCATTGTCATTTATCTTCTTTAGTGTTGAAACTTTGTAAAACCTGGCAAAACACACACACAGAAAAAGAAAAGCCAAATAGGGAACTGATAATTGTCAAGGTCAAAAGGACTGTTATTCTTCTTTAAACCTGTCAGCAAAAATAGCAATCGCAAGCTCATTTCTTTTTCTTCTTTTTTTTTTTTTTTCCCCCCCAGCTTTACATTTTGACATTTTAAAAGCCCATGTCTAGGTTTTCAAGTGAGTTCTTTCCCCACTGGAATTAGAGATTTAGCTATCAACGCTGAAGGACAATTATATGTAGAGATGGTCAGTTGGATCAGTTTACTCAAGTTCTGAGTGACTGTTTTCCCATGTTTCAAAAAGTAAGTCATTGATATCCATCCTTTTTTTTTTCTTTTCTGGTGAAAGTGTGCTAGTACCTAAGTCTTAGTGTGTTCCAGGGAAGCACTTGGCACATTGTGAGACCTGAAAAATCTCAGAAAAGTTTACGTGGTCTGCCATGAATTCTTCTATAACATGCCTGGCATCTTCTATCTTAATTAAAGTAATCACCCCTGTAAATCATAAAAGAATACATTGAAAAAAAGTCTTATCACATACATTGGTCTCTTAACAAGTAGTAGGTTTTGAACAGAATTGGCACATATATGCATATATATGCAGATTTTTCATGATTGTTATAGTAAGCAGCAGTCATGGCTCAGAATGGCTAAGAATGGCTAAGCATGACTAAGATTTTTAGAGCGACTCCTGCACTTGTGATGTGTTTTTTCTCCTTTTGACACCCACTCTTGTTTAGTTGGTGGCTAAACATATTGGCTTTGACATTTTCATAACTCTAAAGAAAACATAGTTCATCTGCTCATAATTTGCAGTCTCTCTCTTTCTGTCCTAGATACAAATAAAAAAGCAAAGAAAGAACTTCCTTTTAGACAGTCATAGCCAATCACTTAATGGTTTGTAATCAGGAGATTCAAATCTGTTCTTTAATTCTGAAAAATATATTCTGATTTAAGTAAACAGTAGGCAGCAGGATAGCCTCTCTAGCATGTATAATAAGCAGCAGTTTGTAGAGTCGAGACCAATTGCTATCCAGGTAGCTCTTCCAGTGCCCTGTGGCAGCTGTGTTGGGCCAGCTTGAGTCTTGTGACTCTGGGGACAAAACACAACAGCAGCATATCCACACTGTCAAGCCACTCTGTGATCAAGCCTGTTTGCACCCACTCCTGTATTCATGCTCTAACTTGCTACTTTTATTCTTTCTAATTATTCTGTACAAATTAAATTAGATTTGAGAGGACAAAATATCCCATCTGAACCTAGTGTATATTTTATGCTACATGTTATTGCATACTCCAGTGTTTCAGAGGCACTCATTTAAATTCCCCCAGTGAGAAGAGGAAATTAAACATAATTTCTCATGTATGAATGACAGTTTTCCTCTTATTACCTTCTTAGGAGATAGTGATGGCACTACAGCTGGCAGCTGTTTCTCGCACACAGTGTGGTTTAGCAGACTTGTTCTGGGAACATCTACTACAGTAAGTACATGGACGAGACAGGGAGATAAATATTTAGTTTGTAGTTCCTTAGGGACCCTTAGCACAAGGTAATCTATCAAGTTTTTAAGCACTGTCAAGACTTCTGGGCGTGTCAAGAAATATACTCCACGGATGCTTGGAAAATTGTAGTTGGACTTAAGGCCCTTAAGTATCCAATGAATAACAAGTTCATATTCTGATCTTCTGAAGTTTGCACTGTGTTTCACAACTAGATACCTGTGATGTATGGTAAATCCACCCATCACATCCTCTGAGTCTCAGCTCCTTGGCCATAATGTAGGCGTAATAAGAACACTTTATTGTATATGGAATATTCAGTTAACCTTGTAGTGGAGATGGGGAGAAAGCAATCATACAAGTAAATTAATATGTCTAATAGAAAGTCAGAGTCATAAAGGATGTTGGATGTTGCAATTTAGACCACAATATAAGAATTATAATGTTTAAACTTTATTTTTCTAAATATTTTCAAGCTCTTTACAAGCATTTGTACCACATCTATACCACAAACCCTTTCTGATAACATATGTGATTTTTCTTTTCAAAAAATTCATATTTTTATACAAACTAAATAAAGAGAAAACTTTTTTCTTTTTTTCTGGCACAGTTTATTGCACCAAGCTAACCAACATAAGCTATGCAAGCAAATTAAACTTGCTACCCAAGGGATGACATATAAGCTGGAGTAAGTACCATTATAATTTAACAGGCAAATGTTTTTTTTAATTGTCTAGTACCAACTCTTTCCCACCTGAAAAGGTACAAGAGGCAAAGTGTGATTTGTTTATTTTCATGAGGTGGTATAGTACTGATTTGCTCATAATTGCGAAATCCCAGAGCTATCTTGTGAGTGTCTGTGTGGCCCTTGGTAATTTTTGCAATGGCTTTTGTTTGCCCCATTTGTTTAACTTCAATTGCAATTTTTCCTCCAGGAGTTGTCACCTTTCCAATGGATAGCCTGGATTAAGGTTTTACTTTGTCTGTGTTGGTGGAAGCTTTACAATATGCAAGCAGATTAAGCATTTGGATACAGTACATTGATTAGGTGCTTGCTAACTCTTGTTTTCTGGAGCGGTTGGAATGTAGCCATCTAGGCAGTTTTGCAAAGAATATAAAAAACAGGAAAAAACTCCAACACTTTATGTACCTAGATACGTAGAGCTGACTTTGGAAACTAAGTAACAAGATTTTAAAAATAAAAATAATAATTATTAATAATAATAACCAAAAAAGTGGTAATTAGAACACTAATGAGAATCCAGATCAAAATATTGTGCAGCAATACAGTATAACTTAAAGATATTTTTCCATCCTTGAACTCTCCCTACATCTTTTTCTTCAGCAAGTATAGAAGTTAAAAAGTAATATTGCTCCATTCTATCTTCCAGATATCTTACCTCAGGGAAAAAAAGAAAACATTAAGAATTTAACTTACTTAAATAGGGTCTATTTGTGGTTTTGTACACGTATGTGTGAGACAAAGAAAAGTGGGGGTTTTTGTTGTTTCATTGCTTCACTAACAGTAAAACAAAATAGAAGTAAATTTGCTGGTATCCAAACATGCTTCTATTACTACCAGTCTCTAAGGATCAGAAGGCGAAATATGCACCATAGTACCATTTGAAGCACCAAAGGAAAAGAGCTTTCTTTACTTCCTCTTATTTCTCTAAATTCATTCCATTATGAAAGAAATAATAAAGAAGTTCAAAATTTCAGGAATTTATAGCTGATGAATATTTTATTTTGTTTCTTCACATTATATTTATTCTGTGACAAAACAATGTACTATATTCCTACAAATCAAAGTAGTAGCATTAGACCTCAATTTTGTACCTGTGCAAGTAGTCATACAGGTGATGATAAGTAATCTGTGTTTGTTGTTACACATTTCCTTTGGAACTGACGTTTTTAGTTCGTTTACTTTTTTTTCTCTACTCTTATTTTCTTTTCCAAATGCAGGTTTGGGGTTTGGTGCACATTGCTTCTTTGGTTTGGAGTACATGGTTACAAGTATCATAAACCAGAATGTGTAGTCTGACACACTATTACTCCCATATGGTGTCATGACTGCCATCTCTAAGAAAGGACATTTTCCCCACATGAAGATTAGGAAAGCACCTGTCTACAGTAACATTGCTGTAATTTCTCTGTTGGACTGAGAAGAACAGGAGTTAAATTATCTGTGTAGAAACTGGATGATTTGTTGCTATAAAGTCCTTGGGTCAGGTTCCTCATTGAGGGGAGCTCCAGAAACTTGTCTCATATACAGTAATGACTCTGGAGCAACTATTTTATTGCCTAGAAGAGTGAACAATGAGACCTCCGGGAGGCAACTCAGCCTGGCCTTAGCTCACTAATAGAGCTGAGGACAGCCTAATTTAGTCTAATCATAATTTGTATGATTTTTCTTCTGCAAATTCCATTATATGAAATTCTCCTATGAAAAAAATAGCCAAAAGCCCAATGGACAGTGCAAGAAGAAAGATAGAGGGCACATCTAATTTTCTTGAAGTTTTAAAAGCAATCCATTTTATATAAAAGAAAATGTAGCTTGTCTTACTTGTTCCTATAGCTGTGGAAATTCTAGATCCCAAAAAGAAATGAGATGTTTAATGAAATCTAGGGTGGCTGAGACAATTTGACAATCCCACGTAACAATTTTAATTAATATTACAGTCCTTTTCCGCTACCCATGCTCCTTGAAAACATACAATTTGGGGTTTCCCCACTAGGTCAGTTCTAATACATAGCTCAGATTTGTGTGGTCATCAATGTGAAAAAAGCTGGTTACTTCAGTAGCCTTAGAAAGAAGATGCCATGATACAACAAACCTCAACCTTTCTTACAGTGTTAGGAATAGCACCAAACATTTCAGGGAGACAAATATTATGTAGGAATAGGTGAAATATCAAGGAAAAAGTTTTGCTTATCATGAACAGTGAGTGAATTACCTCTTTTATTAATTTGGCATGTTTCTGTTGAGGTAAATTAATATAAATGAGTTAATAAGCAGCTGTGAGGAGGTCCCAAATTAGTATGAAAGATATCAGCTATTTATGAAACTATGCTTTTTCTACTAAGCTAACAACCAGCTAGACCATGTGGCCACATTTCAGATTAATTTATAGAGGTGTAAATCTCAGATAACACTGTTGTAAATCTAGAGTAATTCCAGTGAGCACAATGAAGTTACTCACAGCTTGCATTAGTGTAATTGGAATTGGAATACGGTCTGTATTGTAATAAGGCACCAAGTATGTGGCAAAATTCACTTTGCTGGGGGAAAGCCTCTTAAGTTTTTCACTGAAATTTACTTCAGAGGCTAAATAAGAGTAGAGCTGTCTGCCTAATCCCAGAATGGACTAAGTAAATTTATACTGCATTCATTTCACAGAGCTGTTCATTGTTAATGGTAAATTCACTTGTGTGTGCTTCTAGGAGACTGCCTAATTCATACACCGTTTAAAACAGAACCACTGCTGATAGCTGTAATTAGTTCCATAGCAACCCTTCCTCCTGCTGCTGCAAGACTGAGGCTGCTAGTCCAACTCCTATAACAGGTATGTACCAATTAGTAAAGCCTGAACCTAGTCCAGTGATATTGTAATGAAAGGATAACAGTAGAGGAACTGAGTTTATTTTTTTTTTGTTTGATCTTTGTTTGCAGTGGTCAACTTTAGAAAAATAGTTGCACTTTGTTTAGGTCCTTTTAAATCTTGTCGTAAATACACTTCCAGTTTTGTAACATTGTGGTTATGGGAAAGCACTCAATGACAGAATAATGGTCAAGAAGTCTTGTATAGGAGATTAATTAGTAAACATTTATCAAATACAATGCCCTGCTTTATTCTTTCTAAACTTTAAAAGATTTATTCTTAAACAGAAGAAAAAATTCTGAGATCTTAGTAACTAAGTGTTTACAAAATTAGAAATCTAAGCAATGTTGGATTTTTTTCCTCTTTCTGCATGAATATAGAGGTAGTTTGCTGGTCATTTTGGGAGGGATAAAATGAAGTATTTACATCTATTCCTCAAGAAGAATGTCTCTTTTTCATCAGTAAGAAAACATTTTATTTTCCTGATCTTTTGTGTTGTTTTCTGTTCACTTGTTAAATTTTACTTGGCATTTGCAAGTATTTGACTCATATTTTTTGCATCTATCTATAGTTTAGTGTTCAGACAAACTTAACATTTCCTCTGTCTTTTGTAACCTCAGTTTTCAGTACTTTCTTCAAGTCAAAACTAGGAAATTAAATTTATAAATCACAGAAGTAGACTAAAGCTTTTAGGCTACATTTCTGACTTAATCTGCAAGACCTTTTCACATCACTTCTGATACAAAATCCAGTCAATGCAGTTTTGCACATGAATTTCAACTATCTTGAAGAGCCTAGTTAACCAGTCCTTCTAAAGAAAGTTTCTGCATTTTGTATAGTCAAATAGTCTTGCATTTGATCCTAGAGTCAACAAGGGACAGGTGCTTTGAAGGTTATCAGAGGGAGATTATGCACTCATAAGGTGTCTATTTCAAGTTAGATGACTGGCATCTCTCTGTGGTCCTTAACAGTTAGTGAACATTAAGGTTACACAACCAAACTAGATAATTCTGAAGTAATCCTCCCAGAATCATGTGTAGGATGGGCACTTGATCCTCAGAAAGGCTGCTTTGTTTATCTCCTACTAACAATTATCAAGTAGCATTATTTTCTACAGTAAACATAATGCAGCTCTATCCCACACTGATTTCAAGCACACTTTAAAAAATCCAAGTCATAGTTGGTACCTTTACAAGTTTCTTTGGGAATAATTAATAGAAATGATGCTATGTATGGACATGAAACTTATTGTATGTTATTCATCACATATCAAGGTCTGAGAAGAAAGTTTTTACTGAACAGAGACCATATGCTTGTGGTAAAATGTGAGTCAGCCTGTGACTTTGTGTAACTCCCCATGGAACTTCCTTGTCACTAGTAAGTTAAAAGAATGAAGTTAGCATGATTTCACTCAATTAGGACATATAGGTTTGGGTTTTTTTCTTTGTTTTGTAAGAATATTCTATACCTGATACACCTCTTATGGTTTAGGAGATATAAAACTATATTTGAAAGAATACTACTGAACAGAACCACACATTATATGGGATGTGCACCAAGATATGACGTGGAAAGAACATGAAGAGTCCTTTGTCAATGCAGTTCATAACTGTGCTAGCACAATTCTATGTACTCCTTCTTGGTTAATAACAAGGTAAGTGAACATACTGATTACACAAACTAGCTCCCCCTTCCTCTGTCTCCATTCTCACCTTCACCCTCTCACCCTCATCACAAAAAAACCAAACCAAACCAAACCAAACCACCCACTTTCATGCATTAAAACCTGGAATCCTAAAACTGTCATTACAAAAAGGTAGTATATTTCCTGAATCACAGACAGCTGATATTGGGGTCACTCTCTTTAATCATGGAAAGAGTGGGGAGTGGCTCCCACCCAGAGAGAGAAAGGAAATAGCATTCCTGTCATCCCAGATTGCTTAAGCTTGTTGCTGATACAGCAATGCTATTGACAAGCAGCAGCTGTGGAGGGGGCTCTTGTTATTCCTATATCTCCACTAGCAAAGAATTCCTCAAAGACAGTGTTGTGATTTTATGGAACCAAAAATATGATAAAAATTGACTGATCTTGCTTAACATATGAAAGAACTGTCCTTTATATAGCAAGCATCTTCTTTCTAAAATATGTAAATCATCATGTTTTCTCTCTACAGATGTAAAAGAGTAAGAAATATTCCTACAGAAAGAATCAGATTTTGAAATGTTTTAGCTTCCTGAAAGCACTTTAGGAAAAACAAACAACTCCCCTTGCACTTGCAAAAGCCTGTAACCTGTACAGAGAAATGTGGCGACCACAAAAAAAATTATATCTTTACAACAGGAAATAGAGAAAAAGAGATTAATAGATACAACTATATAGAATGCATCCTAAAACTGATGAATGAGAGAACATAGCCCATTTTGTAAGATCAGGTACAGAAAATTCTGTTCAATCAATGAAATAAAGTACTTCCCACAGTGATAAGAATGGTAAAAGAGTCGGAAGAGAAGAGACTAAAATAGAAGGAAAAACACTGAATTCTCTAAGAGAATCAAAATCTGAGAGAATCAAACATGATAGATGGCAAAGGAGGCCCTATCATGACTTACTGTCAGGGAAATGGCTTTGGGTTTTTTTTATTGTGTTTTCTCCTTTGTGCTTTCCTTTCAAGGGTAGAAAATGAGGGGAAAAAATTAAACTCAGGATAGTTTGGGGAATTTTGTGTCTCTTGTTAATGAACTTTGTGTTACTGCTTAACCCTATTTTATCTCTTGGCTAGCTTTTAGAAATTCTATTCTTTCAGAAATTTCATATAATAGCCACTTAAAATTTTGAATGCTAGCAGAGATTTTGTTTACATTATTAGATTAGTGGAAAGATGTGAGAAATAGGGACATGCTTAGTGGAGAACTGAGTTGGAGAGTCCAAGAATATTTGACTGATAAAAATGAGATTCCATGCTCAATCTATGTACCATAAGTAGTTTTTCAAAAGTCCTATCCAAATTGGGTCATTTCCCAGCAGCCTATGCCTTGTGTCCTAAGTTACACAAAAATTCTGATATCCACCTTTTCTTTTCTCTTTTCCCCAAATCTGACTACTCATTTGGACTGTGAAAGGAACTTGATAAGATAAGGATAATACTATTACCCTAGGAGAAGGATGTGTGTGAAAGACTGGAATGTTGATGACTCAGACAATCCAGGTGCAAGGTGACCATGTGCAAAGTAATCACCCAGGTTACTGGGATGCTGAGGGCATGCACACCTGCCACCTCAGGCTTCAAGCTGGGTGTTGTTTCTTTGTCCTTACACAAATGACTCAAATGTGATAACTCTCCTCTGGGGAAGCACTGAGACAATTCACACATAGCCTGAAGATATTAATCTCTGACCATAATGAAGATATTAATCTCTGACCATAATGCATCCACCTGTGCTGATGTAACACGCATCTGTAACATCTTGTCAAAGATTCCTGAAATGTCCCGTGATCCAGTATTACATCATCCAGTGTAGAACTCCCTTCCCCCGGGGTAGTAGCAGAGTCATTCCCACTTAGCCTAAGCCCAGTAAAAGACCACATTTGGACTTCACACAACACTAGATATTTTTCCCTCACCACGTGGGACTTTCCTTACCACCCAGCGCTTCCACCACCACCTTGATGGATCTGGACTGTGACCACCACCACGACAAGACTACAATCATCACTTTGACCAACAAACATCAAAATTTCAACAACCAAGTCTCATCACTGGATCCAATGGGTGTCTTGCGGGTCCTCTCGGAGAGTCCGCAGCCCTACTCTGATTGCCTGTACCAGCACCGCAGCCTCACTCAGCACTGACTGTCCAGCTGTTCCTTTCAGGGTTTCCAGGTGTGGGGGAGGAGAATGACATGGAAGGGCAGTCATCTTGTCTCTGTCCTGTGTCCATGTGTGTTTTCTTTTCCTGAGTGTGGGAGGCCAGGCCACCATCTGGATTTGGTCCAGAGGGCAGGGCTTGGTATGCTTCTCCTCATTGGTTGGTTTAACCCATTATTATAAGTATTTTTATCAGCATTCTTCTTGGTAAAGAGTGATTTTTTCAGTTATGTTTGGGTGCCTTTGGTTTCCCTCTGTATTGGAGAAACTAGGGATATTAAACTCAAGGGAGGAGACTTCTGTCTGAGGTCTCCACCCCTCCAAATTTTCTCAAACCCAGACACCTTGTATTCCAAAAAGGTGAAACAGGAGAAAAACAAACCATATTTTTAAATAGTTAAATAAAATTTCCCCAGACAACTTTTTCATTTTAGTGTTCTTGTTTTCCTACACAAGCTGAAAACATTAGATCATATGTAGACTGAAAATCTCTCATAGGATATTTGGGCAAGGCTTTCCTCTGAAACCACATCATTAAGAAAGTGAGAGGAGACTGACCAGAATGGGTTGAGAAGAGATAAAAAGGAACAGCAAGTAAAACCATTTGTTTAATTAAAAATAAACTCGCAATATCCCTCCACTAAAAAAAAAAAAAACAAAGTAAACTGGGCATGCATGGTTATATTTGTATGAAGTTGCATATAACTAATAAGTGTTTCAAAAAGAAAGTGTCAGCAAATTTAATAACAAATTATGCTACAAGTCATGCGTAGGATGAAAAATATGTTATAAATATGAAAAAAGGGCATTGATGGTTTTTCCTTGAGAATTAAAATATTTCCAGAGAAAATATATGGTAAGAACAGCTGGTGGCTTATTTATCAGAGCATTATAAATATATGTCCTTTTTATACACTGCTTTCTCATTTGCTTCTCCTGACTTTTTTTTTGTTGTTTTGGGTTTTTTTTAAGGTTGCCTCCTATGTGTGGCTTTCTTTTAAAGAAACATAAACAAGATGGTAAACAGATAACCTTATTCTAATAAAAACATCTTGAGTGGGGGTGGGAAGCAACCTCAACCTCCTCTGTGCACAGTCAGCATGTGTCCATAAGGACAAATGGTTTTATTTATTCACACACTAGTAAAATCCTCCCTGCAGAGCCAGGTTTAGCAGGGTCTAATTTTTGTGTTTTATTTTTGTTTCCCACAGATGTTGAAGATGTTAGAATCAGAAGGGCCTTTTTTAGTATGAATTTTAACCAGGCTTTTCTCTGTAAGCTGTAGTATTAAAACATAAAAGAGAGCAAGATGGTTTTGGGTATTTACAGAAAACAAAAAAAGGGAGAAAAGCATTTTTTTCTCTAAAAAAGGCCAATTAATTTATTACTAACAATGATAAACAGTTATATCAGTATTAATACTTTTTCTTCAGTTTCTCCTTTTCATTTATTTGGATAAAATCAGCCACCAACTTGGAGATGTTTTCATGTTCAACCAACTTCAGATTTCTCAAATGCAGCTGCCTGCATCTGAGCCTTTCATGACCGTCTTCCTCTGTAACAAATGGAGAGAAAAGGCTGATGCAGGGTATAATATTTTAGAGTCACTTTAGATATTTACTTTAGGACAAGAGGAATCTTATTCTACCAGTGTCATGTTTTTTGACATATCACTGTTTGGAGTGCAGGTGATATGCTAAGGCATAGATATTTGCATTGTTACTTCTGCTTTTGGTGAGACAAATCTTGTGCTTGACATTCATCTTCTGGTCACGAAGAATGAGTTGCTTTAATCCATAAAGAAAATTTGGTGGGATGAAAAAAAGGCAGTAAATAGAAAGGCAGTACTAAACCAATTCAAAGGAAGGCAATACCAGTCAGAGTAGATATGGTCACAGGTACATCTCTCTGAGTCACAAAATATATCAACTATCTAACATGGAAAAGAAACAGTCAAATCAGTCTTCACAGGAGAACATACATACAGTAGGAGAAATAACTTGAAATAGCAACAGATAATGAAAGGCAGATGCTTTTACAAGAACTGCACAAACCGCAAATCTATGATCCCATGCTTGTTAGGACACTAATGAAAAGAGAAAAAAAACAGTAAAAAGGAAATATAGAGGAAAGGGATGAAAAAAAAGGAAAAAAGGGATAAAATAAGAAAAATCACGAATTACATAAATCCTGCAGGCTTCTATGACATAGGAACTGATGAGATACATCCCAGGACCTTGAGGAAGTTGACATATTTTGGAGCCAAGCTGCTCTCCATCATATTTGAAAAGTCATGGAAGCCAGGTGAACTCCCCAGTTACTGGAGAAAGGGAAATAGGACATTAATTTTTAAAAAGGAGGGTGGGGCCCTGGGAACTACCTACCACTCAGTACACCACCTTCACCTGGCAAGATCATGGAACAGATCTTCCAGGAATTTATGTTGAAACATGTCGAAGACACGGAGGTGATTAGAGACAGACAACGTGGCTTCAAGGGCAAATCATGCCTAACTAGTCTAGTAGCCTTCTCTGAAAGAATGATTGCATCAGTAAATAAGGGAAGATCTATGAATGTCATCTCCCTGCAGTTCTGTAAAACCTTTGATATCGTCCTGCACTACCTTCTTACCTCTAAATAGGAGAGGTATGGGTTTGAGGTACGGATCTTAGAAGGAATGAGGTATTGGTCGCATGGTCATGTCCAAAGAGTTACAAATAATGACTCAATGACAAAATAGAAACCAGTGATGAGCTGTGTCTCTCAGATGTATATACTGGGACTAATACTGCTTAACATCTTCACCCATGACATAGACAAAGGGACGGAGTTCACCCTCTGCAAATGTGTGCATGAACCAATGCCATCCAGAGGGATCTTGACAGGCCTGAGAAGTGGGTCCATGGGAGCCTCATGAAGTTCAACAAGACCAATTGCAAGGTGTCCTGGGTCAGGGCAGCCCCAATATCAATACAGATAGGGTGATGGATGAATTGGGAACAATCCTGTGGAGTAGGACTGGGGAAAACTGGTGGACAAAAAAACTGGATGTGAGCCATCAAGATGCACTTGTAACCCAGAAAGCTAAATATATTTTGGGCTGCATAAAAAATGGTGGCCAGCAGGTTGAGTGAGGGAATTTTTCTCCTTTACCCTGCTTTTGTGAGAACCCGTCTGTCCAGCTCTGGGGTCCTCAGTACAAGATGGACATGGATAGTGTGGACCCAAAGCAGGGCCATGAAAATCAAGAGACCTTTCCCACACAGAAAGACTGAGAAAGCTGGGGATTGTTCAGACTAGGGAGGCCGTCAATGTACAAGGGCAGTTGTAAGAAAGCTGGAAAAAGACTTTTCACTAAGTCTGTAGTGGGAGGACAGTGGGTAACAGTTTTAAACTGAAACAGAGTAAGTTTAGATCAGACATATAGAAAATGTTTTTTTACAGTGCAGGTGGCAAAAAAGTAGAAGAGATTGCCCAGAGACGTTGTGGATGCTCCAGGAAGGCCAGCAAGGCCAACAAGGATGGGGTTTTGAACAACCTGGTCCAGTGGAAGGTGTCCCTGCCCATGACAAAGGGTTGGACTGGATGATCTTGAAATGTTCCTTCTGACCCAAACAATTCTATCCTTCTGTGATAACTATTGGGGTTAAAAGTTTCAGGTACAAAGACAAGTACTCCCTAATTCCTATTAATATAACTCCTTTTCTTTAAATTCTCTAAGTTATTGGAAACGAAACTCTTGTTTTCTTTCCTTCACATGCAAAAGTATAATTCTCCAAAATGTTTAGAGCTAAAGCAGGAATTTTCTTTCTTTCAGTCTCCTCTTACTATGATATCGGCTTCAGAATCACTTAATGTTTGTTTCTCCTTTAAGATCTCTTTAGTTTTATAAGTATGTCGCATCTCTAAAAGATTCAGACAGTATTAACTGTTATAGCAATGTGATTAGGAATAGGCAGGGGAATCAGAATAGGCATAAAAGTCAAGGGAAAGAAATATTAAAATATAAATGTTACATACTCCACTGTTTACGTGTTTTCACACCAAAATCTAAAAACAATGAGTTCAATTTTCTAGTTTGCTCTGGGAACTTAAGGTCACTTCGACTTTAGAATTGTAAACACAAGAAGATGAGGTTTTGTTACTTTTGCAATGTTATAGAAGTGCAAATCAGCTGAAATATATATGTATGTGTTTAGTTCATTATTTTCAAACAAATAAGAACGACAAAATGTGGATTATAAAAGAGAGAGAGAAAGAGAGAGAGAGAGAAAAGGGAACCAAAGATAGGAAAAACACAATACTAACGTGAAACAAATATAAACAGAGGCCTTGAGCTTTACACTGGAGGGTGTCAAACATAAAGTGATTTGAATAAGAGGTATGCATCAAAGAAACAGAGCTTCAGATACAGTTCTGCTTTCCCTGGGTCAAACCCAGGCCCTGCAGCAAGAGGAAAAATGAAAAGCTGTCTCAGTTTGAATGAACTATTTTGAAAATTCAAGTAAGATGAGGAAGGACTTGAACTTTCATTAACTTAGAAAACAGCTATAAAAAAAATACCACCCATGTCTTTTTCTCATTGTGCTTGTTACCACAGCAGATCCTGGGCAACAGAACTCACACTGCAGAACTAAGACATCTGTCCCAGATCAGAGCAGCAGCAATGAAGACAGCTGAGCTAATCAGAAATATCTTAACATTTGAGCAAGAACAAAGAATTTGCTTTAAGATTGAAGTCCTGAATCTGGTTGGAAGATTCACAGATATATCAGTTACATCCAGACAACAGAACTTGACCATGGTCTAAAATTTCTTGAGATTTCTGAGAGTTCTTGGAATTTTCTATTTGGGCAGAGTCACAGTTTCTCAGTTGGTCTTTAATGATATTCAAGCAAATGCATCTCGTTTGAACTGTTTGTCTCTTGATGCTTCATGTCACCATATTGGGTGACTCACTGGTTTGGCTAATGAAAAAAAAACATTTTTAATATTTATGTTTGAACTATACAAAGTTGTTTATTTTTGTTTCCTTCATTAAAAAGATAAATATTTTCATTAGACAATAATAAAATTTTGTCTTAGGATATTCAATATTATTTCAAA